AGGAGGGAGGAGGGTAACCGAAGGCAGGTATGGGAGGTCGTATTTGTAATTTTTCTGCGGCAACATGCTTGACTGTGGTCATTCCTTGCATCTGTACATCATTCAGGGTAACCTACGTGCTCTTCGAGATGACTTGTGTAATTTAGGTAGTTACATTGGCGAGCAAAATCCCGAGTACGAATATGAAGAGCCTGTAAATAAAACAAACCACTCTCACGCTGACGGCGAACATGAAGACGATTCCGAAATAGATCAAGGCGACAGCGAAATCAGCGAAGAACGGTACTCTACAACTTTTTGATTTTATCCTTTTCAAATTTCTCAACATTTCTGAACAAGATACTTTGCAACTTTTCTATATGAGATGTTTCACTATTTGACTGGCACTATTGCACTATTGCAACCTCGGTAGGGGTGAGATGGGTTAAATTTTTTGCTGAAATTCTCCCTAGGAGGGTTGTCCCGACCACGAATATTACATCCATTTTTGGCGCTGACCAAATTAGCGCCATTCGACGCCACGGCCCTTCTCACCAAATTTGCAGTAAACTTGAAGTTAGGGGTTGCTTGTTGTCCGTTTCTGTTGTCGGTGCTACTGGACGCCGGTTTTGTGCTTGTTTACGCCCTCCCACTAATTAGATCGCAATCAGGACTAAGCCTTTTGTGGAGTGAGAGGGCTCCAAAGTGAGTAAGTGAAGTCACCCTGTGGATCTCACACACTCCAACTTTTGCCACCCGGTGCGTACTTTACCTATTCCGGATCCTCACCTCCTCCTCCCCCCTCACGAGCTTAGCCCTGGGTGCCATATGTGGAATAAGAAATTATGTGCTAAACAGCGCTAATGCTAATAAGTAAGGTCGTCCAGAGTGTGGAGCGCCTTTTCAAATTTTTCACAAGTGCCACTTGACCTTATTGGGTGGAAATATAATGCAGTTAGGTGCGCAAATGACATCGGGAGTCAATAGGTTGAATGAGTAATGTCCTATGACTTTCTAGACAGTTTCGCATAACATTATGGTTATAGGGCATGGGTGAGATAGGGTTCTACCTCCGGTATACAGGCCAGAACTAGACCCTTGCAGCCTATCGCGGGAACAAAGAGTGGGTCTATGCTATATTTATGTTGATGTGGATCTAAAAAATACATCAGTGTTTTTGAAATTCAGCCGTATTCTGAAAGTATCAGAGACTTCTCACAGCTGATTGCTACCCATTTCATAAGCTAATTACTTGAACTGTGTTGTACGTACTTCCCTAAAAGCATTATTATGTGAAAACTTAGAATACATAGTTTTAGTGTTTGATTTATTGCAGAGTTTTTGCAGGCCTGTCACAGAAGTGCTTTCCAGCAACCAATCTCAATCTGAGATTAGGTATTTGCGAGTGTACTTTGCACGATGTGCATGCGCGTGTAGTGTTTCCCTCGCTACCTCTATAACTATCTGGCTTACTACTGATCTGTTTGTAATTTTTGCACTCTTCTCTGATAACCTTATCTTTTTCAGAAGTGAGGATCGTGGCGTATTTCTTGGCGATAATCGAGGTGGCCTCAAGCAAGTCAGGCCGGACCAGCGGCGAATAGCTCCTGTTGTTGTTATTGAAAGCGCTTTTAACAACAGGTGATTTATTTCATTTGTTTGTTTTTCAGCAACTTTTGCTTGTCGAAGGTAGTTTTTGTAGAAGGATGCCAGTTGTGATTTTGTATAGAAGTCGTTAAGACGTAGTCAATTGAGCAGTCCTTCGTTGGGAGCTGAACAGCTGAAGTTGGCTTGGCTACATTTTCCAAATCTAATTCTACTCACAAACAAAATGCGAATCAATAGTTTCGAATATTCCAAACCAGCTTCCTTAATGCTCAACAAGTTTTTTAGGAAGTCATTTGCTTGTCCAAAGATCAAGAGCGACTTAAAAACCGGAACATCTATAGGTGATCTCAGCCCCGAAGACATCACAATTATTGCTTCCATGGGGGACGCTTTGGCGGTAGGTGTACTGCCCTTCTTTGATCCTTTCATTCACAATTTTTCTGTTTTTCTGTGTTTGAGCTTCTTTTTCCTAATAGGAACCATAAGTTTTGCAGCTTTAGCGATCAATTTCTAGGCAGTAGGTAATCATAGCATTTTCTTGTGTATAGTGGTATTCTGTGGATTTTGGCAGTTTTGAATGCTTGTTTGCTAGATTTTGACTGATGTCAGTGCCGATGTAATCGTACTTGTCACGTGGGTGCCAGGCTTCAAGATTGCACTTGCGAAGTGTGACTTCTTTAAAGGTTCATTCCGGGTTCTTTCAAAGAAAAAGATCGCATGTGCATGTTTTTTTAGGTATGCCAATTTGGCTAAACTATAATATTCAGTTATCATTATAAGTCTATTCCTGAACATTAAATATGTTAATTGGCTGAACGCCGGTGTGGGTCTGTTGCTTTGGTTGAGCTAGAATTGCCTTAGCTGCTTCATGGCGTTTGGCTTTTCCTCTCGCGTTCGTTGGTCACTACACTGCGATGTTCGTGGAAGAAGTGGTGTAGCAGCAAGTGACATCCTTTACCAAAATGACCGGTGCTTTAGGTCCCAATTTTTGCCTGCACCTATCAAGTTTTCTCCTTCGAATTCGTTCAATTACTACCGGACATTTTCGAGATGATATCATTCTTGGATTGTGTATTTGTTGACCACAGCATTGTAGAGGTCAAATGACTTTCGAACGCAGTTGCAATTTCGAAGGGAAATCAGAGCAGGCGCATCCCAGAAAAAGAACAATTTGCTTAACGTTTCACCTTTCTTGTCTTTATCAATGACTTCAGAGCATATAAGGCTGCAAATTGCGAGCTCATTATTTGTTGGCATGCAAGCCGTTGTTACTTGAAAGATTTTCATTGAATCAGAACTTGAAGTTAATACGTTCGGATGCTTGAAACTTTCTTCGTTCTGCATGGTATGGTAGCCGCATCATCGCTGGCATATGAAGCAAGAAGATCAGTGTTGTAAAGTACTACAAGGTGAATTAATTCAGACTGGAATGGGTTTGTGGCCAAAAACAAACATAGAGTTCCGAGGAGCCGCTTTTCCTATTGGTGGAGACGCCACCATCGATGGACTTATCACAATTCCAAGTAGGTTACCATTCAGCGCTAATTTTTCTCGTGCGGTTTTTACTATTTTGTTGTAGACATCCTTCGCGAGTTCAATAATCACTTGATTGGTGTTTCTCATGGCATGGGAACGAGGGATCAACTTCCTGAAACACAGCTAAGTGTTGCTGAAAGTGGTGCCACAACAGATAAGATGCCAGAGCAGGTAATACATAAAATTACTCAAGACGTCGTTGCTAAAGTACGATCGCACCGCATGGGTTCTGTAGTTGAGTTAAGATTGTGGCGGTTTGAAAGGCGGGCGTTGGTGGAGCAAAGTGGATGCCGCTCACCACCACAGGGCCATATCCTTGTTGAACGTCTCTAATTAACGGATCCCATATTGGAGGGTGGTCAATTTGTGCAAGGTTCCCGTCTTCGCTTGGGTTTGAGTAGTGGTGAACTCTCCTGAGCTGATTCGTATCAGTTGTTCCTCTCAAGTCACTGTGTATGTTAAATCGCATTTGAGTGCCATTACCACTGAATATGAACCGGCTAGAAATTCGAATGTGTGGCGCATCCCGAAAAATTGTGCTCTTTTAATGCTTCTTGTGTGTGACTGGAATGCTTATTTGTTAAAGCACATCCTTCAGTCCGTATACGTAAATAACCCTTCCCGTGAGTAAATTTCTTACAAATATGAGGCATGTGATGTTCTGTGGTTCAAAAGTGTGCCATGGTCTTTCTCAAGTCGGTCTCGGCACACTACCGAGCAGGAACTCCATAGTCAGCCTCAACATTGTTCGCGATGTAGCGATTCAGTCAGCGGGTGCTGCGTCTCGCTGTCATTCATGTTGCTTCTTCATCGTTTTCATCTGTGGCGGGTGCAGCAAGCCCAACTAGGGGAGGATCCCCAACCTTGGGGACATATCCCCAACCTTGGGGATATATCCCCAACCTTGGGGATATATCCCCAACCTTGGGGATATATCCCCAACCTTGGGGATCCCTCCCCTCACCCAACGAGGGGAGGGATCCCCAACCTTGGGGATACATCCCCAACCTTGGGGATATATCCCCAACCTTGGGGATACATCCCCAACCTTGGGGATACATCCCCAACCTTGGGGACATATCCCCATCCTCGACATTCTACGAATCGTTCAAGGGTTTCGTCGCAGGACCCAGGGCTTCCGCATCTCGAAGGCTCACGGACCATTAATGTTTCGTAGCACTATGGGTTGACGGACTACTTGCACTCCGCCCTTTACCGCCTCTGCGCTCTCTTTCGGGTCCCTCTCCTCTACCAGGCTTAGTTCTAGGGCATTCTCTAATCGTCTGTGCTCTAGGAAAAATCAAGTAGTCCGTAAACCTAGCACTATGGCAGTTTCGAAATACAATGGCACGGCACACATAGGAACCGTTACTATCTCTTCACTTCGTGGCTCTTACGAAATACAGTGGCAAATGGTCTTGGAGGCTGAGCGCCTCTTTCACATCGTTAACCATTTTTCTTCAATTGCCTTTCCCTCTTTTTTTGATTCTGTGGTTTCTTCTGGCTCAGTGTGGCCCCGTGAATGGTGTCAGATTCACGGAAACGCTCAGTTTTGGGGCTGACCCTTAGAGGAGAAGAGATAATCCGAAGTGTCTAAGCAGTCTTCCTTCTCAAGCTCTGCCTTCTCCCTTCTCACGTTGAACAAACTGCATCGTGATGCCCCCTAACTAGAATATACCCCGCCAATTTTCGCCGAACTTCTAAAATTCCTTTTTTTAGCGCAACGAGCGGTGGATCCCGCGCCACGCCCTCCTCTCGCAGAGGCACATTGAGCCTTTCCTAGGCACTGTTCACACATTGCGCCACAGCCGAATGACGCTCAAAACGAACGAATCTGCGCAAATGCGAAATGAATGAAATGCGTATCGATCTACAAAATGGGAGGAGCATCGAATCGCGCAAAATCTGCGAATCCTTTTAAAAGAAATGGGTGTCTATCGACCGAGTCAATCGGAGATCGACAGCGCGAAACGGCGGTGCAAAAATCCTCCAGCAACGCTAATACAGCGTGCTCTACAATGTCGACACGCATTTAATCCTTTTCGCATCTGCTTTCGCGCGTGCGCAGATTCTTAACCCTTTCGGACCTGAATTTTTCCCCGTGGAGAAATTTTCTTCTAGCTTTTTTACTTGTGAGCATATAGGTATCATTATGGCGAAATTTGGAAGCTATTCGATCACAAACAAAGAAACTAAGAAGCTTTGAAAATTGGCCCACCTTCTTAGTTTTTAAGCTTATGTCGAAACAATTCGAAATTTCATAGTTATGCCGAAAAAGTTTATAATCTTGCATAACATTATAACCCATAATTTTGATTTAGGAATGGATCCACTTCAAGTATTTTAAGAAAAAGTCACACTTACTTGGCCGGTTGCGGGGGTCAGCGCCCATTCACTGTTGCACTTGTACACAAATACTTGCAATACTAACAGCAATAAACAATGAAATGGCCGGTTAAGCTCATAATTAGGAAGGGGAAGGTTGACTGAAGCAAACTCTAGCAGGATTAGAAAAACTATGCTGTTTCAGCGGAAATGCAAGCGTTTGAATTTGGTGGTGGCAATTGCCACCGCCAGGGCCGAAAGGGTTAATGTTGATATGTATCTGATTCTTTTCGCAAATTTGAATATTCGATAATTTTAAAACTGTGAACAGTGCTTAGAAAACAGCGAATGAACAAAGGCAAGGTAATGGCGAAAAAAGAAATGCGAATAACGAAGCGAAATAGAGGGTGAAGAAACCCGAAACTGCCTTCAATTCTCCGCGTCGCCAAGTGAGGGGACGAATCCCCCTAGTCTCGACTAGGGGGATATATCCCCTGCCTGCAGAGACGCAGAGGGTCGACGGCAGTGACCGTCCCGCACGGTTGCGTCACAGGAGCCACCGAAAAACGATGGGTCTTGCGACGAAGTAGGGGATATATCCCCAAGGTTGGGGATATATCCCCAAGGTTGGGGATATATCCCCAAGGTTGGGGATATCCCCAACCTTGGGGATACATCCCCAACCTTGGGGATACATCCCCAACCTTGGGGATACATCCCCAACCTTGGGGACATATCCCCAACCTTGGGGATCCCTCCCCTCGTTGGGGCTTGCTGCACCCGGCCACTGGTCTAGCGCACTGTTCCTCTTCGTTAAAGCGCAAACCATCTCTTAAATGTCATTGTTTCCAATGTTTTTTCAACAGTTCTCTTTGTTTTTTCGTCGTTGGCGCCCTACACGCAACTATTTTTGTATTCTAGCAGGAAAATGACCAGAGACGTGGTGTGTGGCTTTAAGCGATTATTATGTCTACCTGTTCAGGCACGAGAACTTGTCAGACGACTGAGAAATCTGGTTCAAGTGAATTACAGAGATCACTGGACCATGGTTATCGTAACAATCGGCACTGAAGAGGTAGGCAGTAGCTAATGCGTGCTTACTTCCTTACTATTACCCGGCTATTCTAATTGTTCATTGGTCTGATTTTCACTCATTAGTCCTCAGTTTAATGCTGTTGCAGGTGTGCTCCAGATGCACTTCACCTAACGTCACAGCGCTGACGGAGGCCATCGACATCCTTCAAAAAAATCTTCCTCGTGGTTTTATTGTGCTGTTGGGACCAATCCATGTATCGTTCCCCCACGAGCTCAAAGGAAACCTGCTGAAGTAAATTATTTGTCGAAAGTTCGCTGTTTCCTTCCTCCCAAGTTGGTCCAATGTTTTATTCGTATATTTAATTCCCTTAGTTATGTTGACGATTTAGATCTCGCTGTGAATGTTCAAGAGAAGCATCGAATACGTTGATGGAAAGGCTTAGTGCTGACTGGAAAAAGGCATTCGAGGATCTCCAAGAGCACGTGGATAAAAACCCATTCAGGGTCAGTTTTCAAGAGCTAGAAGTGGCAGAAATAATATTAACTCTGCTATTCGATATCTGTCTCTTTTTGGGAACATTTGTGATCTCGGGCAAAGGTGCTAACTGTTCAGTAGATGTTCATAAGGGATGTGACTCGCTAGGACAGAAAGCGATTTTTTCGTTGTTCGCACCACTTATCAACGAAACTTCTTTGGCTGCGATAACCACAGGTCCACTACTAACATGATGGATCTGAGCTTCCCATGAAGAAAAAGTTTCGCGCTGCGAACAGCGGAAAAGTCGCTTTCTGTTCTAGCGGACAGATCCTTCATGAGCAGTCACAAAACTTTTCCTTCTTCTCTTGTTCATGTTCCTCCTTTTCGAGTGACTAACGTGCTAATTATTTTTTATTATAGGCTTCCACATTTGGTATTCTTGCAATTCCTGAGCTTACAATAACCTCTCGATATCCTTACGGTTTATTTATTCCCAATAAGCCACTGCTCAACAGGAGAGGTACGTTTCAACGTTATATCGAGTTACCTAGGGAATAGCAGTAATTCCAGGACACAATTATGCAACGAAATGGCTTTGGAACCGCTTGATTGCTGGCGAAAACTACAACCTTTCAGCAGCAGTACTGTCGCAAGACGCTTACTTCTGCCCTTCCATTGTGAGCATTACTACTTACGCCAGCGTTTTGTATGTTGTGGAATCGAGCTGAACTTTTAGGGGTGCCCTTATTTTCGCAATACGGCAAACATTCATGGCTGCCAATTGCTAAGCCTCAGTGAGGCAAAGGAAAAGGAACTCCACTTGGGTGTCGATGGCAAAGTTTTGAAAACGGTTTGTGTAATAATTATGGTAGACTGTGAAACAGGATTAACCCTTTGTGCCAATGTTGTATTTGTTACAGAAAAGGCGAACACCAGAGCGCTTGTATACCATCGCAGTTTGTATAGTGGGTATAGCGTTCTTTGTCGTTTGTACGCTGGGAACAGTGTTTTATCAGAAGAGCAAACAGGTAACTTCAGATTTTTTTCATTCTGTAATTGATTTGTTTATCTGTTTTTTAAGGGTGAGCATGGCCGGTTCGAAATCGTCGACGAGGTGCAGAAAAAGTTCGAGGAGGCTCAAAAGGAAGAAGAAAAAGCGCTCTTGACAAAACAGGTCACAAGAGGGATGTCTATGAATGAAGGCCTCCAGAGGAGCACGCGAAGACTTACAGGAGAGGAAGCGTAGGTGCAATCTAATAGAGTGCTGTCCTAGTTGTTAGTGTTTTATTGATCTATTCCTTGCCATGCTGCTGTCATGGCAGTCACAATCGTTTAGTAGTAATTCGATTTTTGAAGATAGATGTGAAAACGGGGCTCGGGCAGCACCCCCTTTTTGTAACCTGTGAGTATGAGCAGTACCTATGCCAGCAGCAGTTTTGTTTGTTACCGGGAAAATATTTTTGTGCTGCGTCAACTTCGATCCTAGTTCCCTCGTTCATTAGTGCTGTAATACTAGCCACTTCACGACTGCCCGCTTCATATCTCACCTTTTGGATATGTTATCTATAAGGGCCGCTTTGTAAACTTCAGCTAAGTGCCGTTCTACACCAAAATGGACAACCATTGGGGAGTTCTGCACCTTTTCACTCTCATAGAAGCTCAAGTTATCAGGAGACTTTGGCTTGTTGAACATATCAAAGCGGTGCCGCTAGCCTAACGATAATCAAAGCTCTGCCAAACTTATCCTTTTCACGCTGTCGAAGGAATCTCGTAACGCGGTTCCGCCCAGTAGCAGGACAGCAGCTAGAGCTGCTGCAGCACAATACTAACACTGGACTTAGGACTGGTGTCAGAGTCCGCGATCCGTCGCAGGTTTCGCTGATTTTCGCGATTTGCGCGATTCACGCGATTTGCGCGATTCACGCGATTTGCGCGATTCACGCGACGGGTCACGGGAATCACAAGTGCCCGATCAATACTGGAAAGCAAAGACTGTGGCTGGGTTTGCCTGTTGTTAAAACTTTACTCCGTCAAAATGAAGCCTGGGTCTATCCTAATAGATAGTGGTTTTCCCCTAATTACATTTCCATTCTTGTCTACCAGATTAGTCCCCCGTCAACCGCCGGGACCTTCCTTTCCTGCGCAAGCTTTCTATCCTCCGCTATGGTCCCTTCCTCCTGTGACACCAACACCTCTGGAAGTGACGCGTATGCAACACAATGGTGTTTCATACAGTAGAAGGGACACAATCATGATATGACGGTAGATTTTTCGCTTCCCTTCCTCATCCTCCCTTCCTCTCTCCACTGCCCTCCAGCTGCCACTGCAGCACCATGTGGAATGAACGGAAGTGTGCTAAGCAGGTGTTTATATAGCCCTAAGAGTGTTATCACAACTATCCTGCTACAAAACATTGATATCTCAAATCCTGTAAGCTACCCGATTTGTTAGCGGTTTGTTTATCCCATGAGCTTCCTTCTCACTCACTTCATTTTGCGGACGGACACACATACATACATACATACATACACACGCACACACACATACAGATATACAAACCGACACACAAAGTTAGCGCTTTATAAAATAGAAGGATTATTCGCCGAAGATTAGTATTCAAAATTCTGGTGGAAAGGTGCAGAACTTCCTTGCCAACTTAACAGATCTTGTTATTGTTGTTGCTTATAGTTAGCGCTTTATGAGATACTTAGTCATTGTGATTTCAATGTTCAGGTTTATATTAATTTTCCACTGGTAGAAGTAATGTCTCAATTATAATTAGGTAGCGGTGTAACCCACTTGACTTGGTCTCTTTGCCTTATTTCATTGATCATTCACTTGTATCAGAAGTTCCAACATTCCTTCTGCTCACTAGTAAAACCTTTCACAGTTTTCCACATTTCACAGTATCTGGTCATTGATGGGTCAGACTAATTTAAGTGCATTTCGTCTAGTTTTTAAACTGTAAGCTGTTGACAGTTGTGATGCTTTTCTTTCGCATTTCACTTTGCATTCATTTATAGTCGTTTTAGCGTTTAATTTTAGTGCGTTTTGTAAAGTTTTTGTATTCAGTCATGTAAGATATAAATTTCTATGATGTTTCTTTTTATTAATTAGCTATCGACACAATATTCTCAGTTTACAATGAAAAGATCTGTCGATAGCCGATGAGAGACACATCATTAGACTTCGCTTCTGTCTGTTAGCACAATATCGTTTACTTAAGAAGCGTGCCAGCTTTGCTGTATATGGCATCCACAGTCTGGAAAAGTCTGTAGGTAGTTGATTTGGGACCAGTTTGGAATTAGTACGGTTCTTACCTTGGATAGGGCTCTAATTAGTTCTACAGATTTTTGGTACGTCTTGTCTTTGTGAGGTGTTTGATAGACGTGAACAGTGCCCTTATGCTGATCAATCACACCTGAAACACTCATGCTTTTGATACCGTAACTTTTTTGGAGGAATGCGCAGAAGTGAAGAATTTTTGGGATGAAATATAGGGTCTATCCATTTGTATCGATTGGGTGACTCCACTGTCAGTATTCTGAGAGAAACGGGGAATGCCAGTGATCAATGCCTATTTCTTTTCGGAATTTCTTCGAATCTTCAGCTTGGTACAAGGTACGAGTGAGCTTACCCTCTGCTTTCGAAGAACTAGGTGCGCGTCGAGTGCAGACCACACACCACAAGTGACGACGGCCTCCACAAAATGTAAATGTTTCTGCCAATGAAATGATTAGCCGGTTGCAGTTGTATTTCATCAGT